TGACTGATGGCTGAGACACACAGCGTCATTGGCTGACTGATGGCTGAGACACACAGCGTCATTGGCTGACTGGTGGGCGGAGACACACAGCGTCATTGGCTGACTGATGTTTGAACTGTCAGGACATTTGCTCTGATAGAAATCAGTATTTAATATATGAAAACAGTCCGGGATCTGGAATTAAAGAGATTCCCTACTAATTCTCATAAATTACCTGATAACCTGAGTTCATTTGAAGACAAAATAAAAACAATTTTGTGCAAAAATATAAATATTTAATAACTATAAAATCCGAGCAAAATAATGAAGATATAATCGGTGACAATAAATAATAAGAATCTAAATAGGCGATGCGATTATCTCAGCAAATATATTAGTTATGAAAATAAAACCACAAGATATCGTTCTAAATATGAATAAAACAGAACTCCGCGTCTCTTAAAATGCAGCGAATGAAACTCTCAGTATGAAGTGACCACAAAAGAATGTGCGGATCTAACACGTGACCCCTCCCACCAAACACACATTCAAAGCTCAAAGTCCGAACTGCGCATGATGTAATATGTGAGATTTCTAAGCTCAGGACTCGCTAATTCATCTAAAATCTCCTCGAGGTAAAGACAAACTTCTGCTAAGCTATTATATTCTTATATATATATCACAGACTAAACCATTGACTAGACGCTGAAATCGCCTTCCAAAAAGAGACTCCGAAACTGAAATGTGGATAATTATTACTGCAGCTAAAATGACTCCAATTCAGTTCCGACACGAACACTATATAACCGAATGGTCAGACTGAATGGTGTAATCCGATCTATACGGCCAGTACAAACTGCTTACAGACACCTGGAGATCTATACTTTACCACTGATGTGGAGATTCTTTGGTCTCAGTGATGTAGGGAATGGGTGTGGGGAGAGGGTTGGGAGGGCAGAGTGTGTTTTATTGTAGGGAATTGGTGGAGGGAGGGCAGTGGGAGTGCAGAGGGTGTTTTATTTTAGGGAAGGGGTGGGGGATGGAACAGGTAGAGGGAGAGCAGAGTGTGTTTTATTGTAGGGAAGGGGTGGGGGGAGTGCAGAGGGTGTTTTATTGTAGGGAACAGGTGGGGGGAGAGCAGAGTGTGTTTTGTTGTAGGGAAGGGGTGGGGGGAGAGCGGCGGGAGTGCAGAGGACCTCCAGGCTATCACCCACCCAATAAAACATCAAGTTATTCTGCGTTCCCTCCCATCTATGATGTATTTCCCCTTTCTTTATGAGACCAGTCGTTTTCTAGTGTCATGGCTGACAGTAACATGACCACATGTTAATCTGCATTGCATGCTTGGAAACATTACTATCTCCGACCTTCACATACCATCTATTCATTCATCTGATGTATCCTGTTGTCTGCTGTAACCGGCTGCAATCAATAAAGATCTTCATGAAAAGGTGTTTGGTGAGTTCGGCTCTCTGATAAGGATTGTCCGCGGTGATTATATCGGCTTATACAGGCCGGGCATAGAGGTCTAAGCAAGAGATAAATCAAGCTCAGTGCCATCCTCCATCTTGTGAAAGCACATGGACGCACAAGCTTGCTGCACTTCACCTGTGAATGTGGAAACCTGTTTCTCTGCATTGGACTGTGTTACCTCACCTGTCTAAGCTGCTGTTCCTCTTCTTAAAGAGACAGTAACCATTTTTCCCAAAAACGTAAAACATGTCTAGACAAGGCTCTGAGCACTCTATTATGGCTGAACCAACGCCGATACCTCGTGCCTCTGACCCCCCAGACGTACAGGGAGCACATTCTGCAGATATTGCCGAACAGAGTGTGACACCCAAACGCACAATAAAACCGACACAGAAACTCAGAGAAAACTATGAGACCTCTAGAGATGAGTGCATGGGCCAGACTTGAGCAAACCTATGGCAGCTCTGAAGCCATAGAAAGCGCTCTATTCAAGAGACTGCAAAACTTCCCCAAAATAGGGAACAAAGATCATCACACACTTCAAGAACTAAGTGACCTCCTCATGGAGCTAGAGTTGGCAAAGACAGACCCACGTCTACCTGGACTGAGCATCCTGGACGCCGGCCATGGTGTGAATCCCGTGATGTCTAAACTGCCATACGGCCTGCAAGAGAAATGGGCGCATCATACAAAAGAGACTAGAACGCATCTTTTCCTCCATTCTCATATTGTTGCAGGTTCATCGTCATCAAGTCTGGACGAGGAATGATTTCAGCTTCAGCTTCAATGAACCCAACTCGCCAGCTTCATCATCATCATCATCATCATCATCATCACCAAGGTATGATAACACAGCAGCTAAACGTAGAGACTTTAATAGAGTAATATCTGTAAAAAGGACGGACATCTCACCTCCCGTGTCCTCTCCTGCACACCAGAGTGATTCGGGTGATAGAGATCCTAATCGTCAGCGTCCTATTCACAAGAAGCCCCACCCTCTTAGGCCTTGTCCACACCAAAGTATTGAAAAGCAAGAAGACTCCCCGGAGACAACATCAGATAACCAGTATCCTCTATGGAGGGATGGTTATCATTAAAGGTATATTGGGTCTGTAACTGGGCAAAACTTGAAAATAACAAAAGAGATCGGTCGCAAACACCGTTCTGTCCGCTGACCGAAAGAAGTTAAATCAGAGCGTAATTTGAAAAAATATATTGATAATTTTATTTTGAAACATAGAAAAAAGTTGCACCAATTCCACAAATAGACAAACTACTTTTGCTAAAAAATCGACAACGTTGTTTCCTATAGACAAACCTACATATACTCAGTGGGTAACCCTAACTTCACCCTCTAGCTTTGATATTGTGTTGCCATGACATGTAATTGCTCCTTTTGTGGGTAGAGATTTGATTCTCATTAGTATAGTATCTCTGACACAAACAAACAAAATCTTGTCTAAGCTGTGAGCTTGGTTCGACCTCATCTGGAGTACGCGGTCCAGTTCTGGTCACCAGTACTAAGAAAAGATGTCCTTGAGTTGGAAAAAGTCCAGCGAAGGGCAACCAAACTAATTAGGGGTATGGAGGACCAGAGCTACGAGACGAGGCTACTAAATTTAAACATGTTCACATTAGAGGTGAGGAGATTAAGGGGGGATATGATTTCCATGTACAAAATGTTTAATGGTGGTAGCAACATTAGCGATAAACTGTTTAAAATTAACTCTGTTACAAAAACTAGAGGCCATCACCTAAAATTGGTGGAAAAAAAATTCCAGCACAAGGTGCGAAGGGGGTTCTTCACAGTAAGATCAGTTAGGGTCTGGAACTCACTGCCACAGGCGGTGATTTCAGCAAATAATGTGGAATTGTTCAAGAAACTTTTGGACGATTTCTTAAGGGACCGTAATATACAGGGGTACAGGTAATATACAGGGGTACGGGTACTCCTAGAATGAGATCCTAATAGGTTGGACTTGATGGACTAATGTCTTTATTCAACCTCAAATACTATGTAACTATGCCGTTAGAAAGTCATCTCCTTCATTGAAGGAAAAGCATACAAGTTAGAGATAGCCATATCTCGGTTTTTCTGTTCACTAACAGTATCTCGGTTAGCGGTTGGTATACTGTGTTATAGTTATAACTTATAGGTAAATCTAATGGATCACTTTTAGTTTTTGATCTTGATAGTAGAACCGAGGAATGGTTTGTAAATTATGACAAAACCTCTCTTTCAAGTGGATATTCATCACGATTTTATATCATTTGAAAAAAAATTGACAGATTCCACAAGGGCAATCCAGAAGGCCTAAAAGTAAAAGGAATCTATGTCCTGAACCTCTCAGCTAGAAGAGGGGACTTCGATAGGGTTCTAAAGCAAAAAGAAAAAATGTGGATGTACAGACTAGACACATTGGCCCCCAAAGGGCTCAATACTGAATTCAATCTACAAGTCTTTCTATGAATTGAGATACACCCATAGGAAGTGAATATGGACATTCCTTCCCCATTCCTTTTCTCTTACATCTACCTATATATACCTTATCTGCCAACATTTAATCGGTTACCGACTGAGTCATTCTAAGAGGTTCCATGTCCAACTGTAACAAGCAATCAGGTGATATGAACCGTTATTTATATCTCCATGTTTTCTATCTTTATACTTTGTACAACAGGAGAACACAAAGCTTCATATGCAAACCACACATACTCTCAGAAAACGCCGGTTGAAGACCGGTAGGGGTTAATGATATAATTAACAGGATTCCCTATATAAAAGAGCACGTAATTTCCCCATGATTACGTCCTGACGAAGCCCCAGTAGGAGGGGCGAAATGCGTCGACGTTTTGTGTCTGTGCGGCAGACCCTAAATCACCGAGGACTATACCGATATCCTCATACATCGGCATGTCCTCCTAAACTGATGATATACCATGACCTGCCAAACTCCTCTTGCTTCTGATACTACAACCAAGGGGAAAACCGGTTATTACCCACTGCACAACCCTCGGACCAAACAACTATACTGGATAAAAAATCCCCACAATAAACAGGATTCAAAAAGGGAACCAGCTGCAGCACCTAAAAGACCGGCCCCTTCAATCACCAACCTGGGAAAAGCGTGAGTCATACATCATTTTCAATCTCTTTCTTCTTTTACTGGATTAATGGATCCCCTTTTTCAAATTATATAAAATCGTGATAAATATCCACTTGAAAGAGAGGTTTTGTCATTAATTTACAAACCATTCCTCGGTTCTACTATCAAGATCAAAAACTAAAAGTGATCCATTAGATTTACCTATGAGTTATAACTATAACACAGTATACCAACGGCTAACCGAGATACTGTTATTGAACAGAAAAACCGAGATATGGCTATCTCTTACTTGTATGCTTTTCCTTCAATGAAGGAGATGACTCTCTAACGCCATCTACCGGCTCGTTCCATAGAGAGCTCACAGTTTAGACAAGATTATTTTCATTTGTATCATAGATACTATACTAATGAGAATCAAATCTCTACCCACAAAAGGAGCAATTACATGTCATGGCAACACAATATCAATGTTAGAGGGTGAAGTTAGGGTTACCCACTGAGTATATGTAGGTTTGTCTATATGAAACACTGCTGTGCCGGCCTCCGGTCCCCTGGTCCGTCCGCTGCTGTCCCGGACTCCGGTCCCCTGGTCCGTCCGCTGCTGTCCCGGCCTCCGGTCCCCTGGTCCGTCCGCTGCTGTCCCGGCCTCGGGTCCCCTGGTCCGTCCGCTGCTGTCCCGGCCTCTGGTCCCTTGGTCCGCCGCCTTCGTCTAGGATCCGGTCCGGCCGCGGCTTCTCTGCCCCGCCCCCCTGCCTCCTCTTCATTGCAGGCTGGGAGCCATACCCAGCCTGCTATTGGATATTGTAAAATGCAATAGCCAATAGCAAGCTGGCTATTGCACCCGCCCACTGCCTGCTGTCAATCAGCATGGGGGGACCTGATAGAGAACTTTCTCCTTCAGGTCCCACCTCCGCTGAGCCCTGATTGGGCAAAGTCTTGCACGTGACCTTTGGTCGGGTGCAAGACTTTAACAAATCAGAGCTTCGGTGGGCATTTTGTATTATGGAATGTCCGCGGTCGAACAAACGGCGAACATCCCATAAAGTTCGGCGTTCGGCGAGCGCTCGGCCCATCCCTACTCAACAGTACTTTTGCTCTGGCACATGTAGGAGTTAGGTCTGAGTACTCTACACAGGTCTTGGGTGGGATGATGCATGTCACTGCAAAGGGGTGTTTTCCCACCAACATGCAATGGTATGGCTTGGAATATAGGTCCACATTGCTTGGATGGTGCAAGTATAGTATATGTGAAGGAGAACCTTACTAGGGCCATATCCTATTCTGCTGCACAGTCCTGTTCAGGGTAAAGCTCGGCTTTAAAAGAAATATGAAGCCACTGGGAGCTTATTTACAGGACAGAAGGGGGGGGTGACCTTATTAGCGCAGTGACGCCCCATTTTCTGGGGAGATGAGCTGTGCTGCTTCTCTGAAATAAAGTATGGTCATTCACTAGGCTGTGTTGCAGCGTTGGTCATAAGACTGGCTGAACAGAATCAGATTCTTTGGACAGGGGACGGGTCATCACATGTATTTCAGCTCTATTTGTGTTCATTTAACAAAGGAACTGAATTGACATTTGTCCAAGACCTGTACACAGCACACAATTGGGGTGAATGCACTTCGTTTGGCTGTTTTTAGACTTGTAGAGAAGGTATTTGTCACTCCCTGGGAAAAGTTCATGGCTTTGAAGTCTTCTGCGGATGGGGAAGACGAGCTGAAGGTGATCAACTGGCTAATGTTAAGCTTTACTAACTGCATTCAGTTGTGATTTTGGATTCTTGTCTCAGCTGAACATCAGATATTTACTGAGACCTGTATCAATGCAAAAAAAAAGGCAATGGGAGTCCCCCTTTAAATCCATCGCAGAACTTTATCCACTGGACAGTACACATTGGTTAATAAAACCGTGTACTGTTCCTTTTAATTCTATGGGGCCCCTCAAAATACCCCTAGGACTGTTCATGGCATGAAATGGACCCAGGACGTATCCCACTGGCAAGTGCTGGACACTCATTGTAGCCCCCAATAGCAGCTCTATGGGAACACTGTCCAGTGGAGTGATCTCTTGGCTGACCGTACTATGTTCTACTGATGGGAGGCAAGGGGGGGGTCAGACTGAATAATGGGGTGAAGCGTTATACCTTTGTAAGGGGCTGAGGGTAGGGAGTGCCTTTATTCAGTGCCTGGCCGTTCCTGTCTGGCATTGGAAGCTGGGGGTTTCTTAACATAGTAGGGGAATGGGGGTGGGGAATTCCTAAGAGGGGACAATTTAGTCTTTGCTCCTCTTCTCTCTCAGCAGCATTCTGGGGTATAGATCCAAAGATGATCCGCACCTCAAATAATGTAAAATCCAATCTTTTATCTATTTAATCACATTGTTGCAATCGGTGAACACCCCGAGCGCTACACCCCCTAAGTGTGTGATGATTGGGGTAGTCACTGGTTACAAGGCTTTTCAAATGAATAAATAGGACTGGATTTTATCTTGGAGGTGGGGTCTATGTGTGCACAGCGTATCATGTGACCACTCTGAGGTTTGGACAGATTTCTAGATTTCATATTCTCATAGGGGTCTGTAGGTGAGCACATCGTTTGGTACAGACATTGACTTACCAATCCCCTCCCCCAGCACCAGATAGCAGGATTACTGTGAGCACCTAATCCACTTACGATTAGGATGGCGCGCCTGTACCTTTTTTGGGGTGTTTTCCTTGAAAAAAAATGGTAGCCCCTACCACCACCTGTGGAGTGGCTACCAGAAATGTAGCATTGCTAGAGCTGTAATCAGTCTGGCTGGTTTATAGTTGCCTATTATCTGGTTAATTCCAGAGGTTCTACTATTGATTGTACCTGTCTGTGTGGGGTGCGACCGTGTCACAGAGTGGGACAGCCAATGAAGGAACATCTTCAGTGTCTATGCTTCCCCAGCCAGTCACCGGGAGTTTCATGGCCAGTGGTGCACGCTGGGTGAGTGTATAAATACTCAGGGGACTTGCCATGTGCTCAGGTTGGTCTGCCCCTGAGCTTAGCCTGGGGGTGGGGTGCTCAGCGATGGAAAAGCTGACTAGATCTCAAGCCCGGAGGAGGCCACATGTGGACCCAGGAGGGGTCTGGAACTGACGGGAAGAGAACCAGAGAAGCCCTATGACTGCTGGAGGTGCCTGGTCAACTTTCTTGATTACATGTCCCTTCACTGGCTAAGGATCTGCCCCTGAGAGTGAAATGTCAGCCCTCCCTGCCTCTGGGGGTCCACCTCAGGCCTCTAGGGGTCAGGGGGGCACTACAATATATTTTCACACTTATTTAAAAAGGAAGCATCAAAAGCCATGGCCATGTGCAAAGAGCAGTGATGCATGGTGGGTGGCAGAGATTGGTTAGGTGCTAGTAAACAATCTACTGATACCTACGTGACCTCTCGAGATCTGTCCGGTCTTCTGCAATGGGCAAACATGAGACAATCACAGGTTACTAGTTCAGTATCAGAGCCATGCGTTGGAATGACACATGTTACCATAAGGGATGCACCGATATCAGTGTTACGAGTATGCATGAAAATGCCCCAACGCTAAGTGCCGATAACGGTTGTCTACATTCTGAAGCGGCTGTCTGAGGTCCTGTGCCTGCTGGGGGCCTCGGCAGCCTTCCTGTAAACCACGTGGCCCATGTTTACAGCTTTAGTCGCAAGTCTCCTTCCTGGGGAATCCTACCGCCCATGAGACCCCGCACAGCCCTCCTGAGACCGCGCACAGACCTCCTGAGACCCCGCACAGACCTCCTGAGACCCCGCACAGCCCTCCTGAGACCCCGCACAGCCCTCCTGAGAGCCCGCATAGCCCTCATGAGACCCCGCACAGCCCTCCTGAGACCCCGCACAGCCCTCCTGAGACCCCGCACAGCCCTCCTGAGACTCTGCACTGGAGACATCAGGCCGGCCTCCCCAGAGCAGCATAGAGTATGTAGCTTCATATTATTCTGCATTGCTGTATAATGTATTGCTGGGCTTTGTAGTCCCTCTATAGCTTGGAGTCAGTAGCCGAATTGCATTGCAACAACGCCAACGACCAAGAGAAGGTCACGTGACTCTATTTCCAGTGAGATACGGGGCAAGGCTGAGCAGGCTGGGAGCCCATTTACACTGTGGGGTTTTATTGCACACATTACATGATGCTGAATGCACGTGTCCAGGTTCCCTATAATAACAATAGGACCTGTTCTCATCTCAGCGCTCACTATGACGCAGTGTGCGTTTTTTCTCTGCATTTTAGTGCGTCGGGAGGCCGATAGAAGTCAATGGCAAACCATCAAAATCCATATTCAATACAACGTTCACTTTGATGGGTTGAAGCCGTGGTCAATGGCTGTTGACTCCATCCACTCCAAACCCTAAAATCAAAACACATCAATGCATATCAATAATGCATGTCAACACACCAAGGAAACGCATGTTGACGCATGACAGCACATCTACCTAATGCTACAAAAAATAACGTACTTTGACGCACATGCATACATCTAAATGGGCAATAAATCTTGGTGGGATGGTAGGAGAGATCCTTGCACTGTGATGGAGTGTCGTCTGACCCCATTTGGCCTAGATAGCATTCCCAGAGATCTCGCCAAAACAGTGGTGACGCCACACCAGTAGGTGGTGCAGTATGGTAGCCGGGGGTAAGGGAAGTCCATCTGTACTCATTTTGTAAAGGCATAGTCCACCTTTTAGGTAATAAATGCACCGATGGGGGTAAAATAAATAAATGTACATTAATTAAATGTACGCATTCAAGCCTGCAGAGCATTGCACCTGTGATCAGTGCATTACAAGTACAATGCTCAGGCTCCTGTAATATGAACCCCCAGCCCCCAGTCCTTATGGTGGTAGGGACCTTCTATTATGGGATGGAGGAGGTAATTGATGAACTACAATAGCGATGCCATCACCCCCCTGACGCCGGCGCTCTCTGCTGAGTCCCTCTGCTGCGGTGACAAATGGGGATCCATTGATGACAGTTGCAATGCTTCACAGACTCCAATGCCAAAATATAATCATTCATTGCACATTGATACTATGAATGTGTGCTTGTTTATTATTTCCTGTAAAAGGTGGAGTTCCCCTTTAATCTTCCCAGAGCAGACTCCATGCACCTTGATTGGTTAGATGAGGCCCACAGATGTCAGTCGTTTCTGGCCACCTTTGCAGCCCTAATCGTATTGAGATCACCTGCCAGCATATCAGTCTTTGTCCAATCGTCCTGAAGCCCCGCCCCCTCCCCAGCATATAAATCTCTGGTCAGGGCTGGATGTCAGTATTGGAAGTGGTCTTCAGGATGTTGTATTCTAGGGCAGGATTGGGGTTGGTGCTTCTGCTTTGGAGCTGTGGTCTGTCATGGATGCTGTGTGATGCTGAAGGACATTGGGATGGCTCCTCACATCTCCATTGCACTCTGAACAACATGGAGCTGACCCTTCCTATGTCAGGTGAAGGTGTTTCTTATTCCCTGACTGTGCTGGGTGAGTCATTATTAATGTTTCCTTTACTATTTGTGGGTGAAGAGGTGAAACCTGCCTGGATTAGAGAGGTTATACATAGTAATTTGTGTAATTGGCCTTCTGGTCCCCAGGGCATGGTGGATGTGTGCTGATGTAGTAAGGGGGGGGATCTTATGAAGCTTTAGCATGAAGATGTGACACTGCTTATGTTGAATGGTCACAGCTTGGTTGTGTTGAATGGTCTTCGCTAGCTAGGGCAGAGCTGTACTCTGAATGATTAGTGGAGTGTAAGTTACAATAACCTGTTCCTTCTGTCTGAATGCAGGAAACCTTTTATTCTTCAGGTTCTCCTGCGTTTGGAGTATTAAATCTGCCCCTGGATGCTCAGGCTTCAGACTTCTCTAAATACAAGCACCCTGAATGTAGCAAAACATGGTATAGCATTTAGAATCCATACAGGTTCTATAGACGGAGTCCTGTCCATGAGAATGAGGCCTTAGGCTTGGGTCACACTATTGAGTTGTGTGCATGTTGCTGCAATGCAATCCATGTTGTCTGGCCCCTTGATGATGGTTGCATGCTGCCAGGAAAGGTCCCCCTCCTGCGTTGGAGGTGCGTTGATGGCCCCCTTGTGTTGAATGGGCTGCCTAACTCTGCACATGCTAATGCAGGAAAGCTTCCAGCAATGCTCCCCGTCAGTCAAGTCTCTATGAATGTGAAGGAGAGCTGCTGTAGCTAAATGTGAGCAGAAAGCTGAGACTCTGCCGGACCAGGAATACCGAACCTGCTCCAGTGGCCTCAGCGCCGGCTTTTCAAATGGTGAAATACAGCAAATGGAACACTGTGGTCTGGTTGCCTCTTTGTATGTGGTCACTGCACTTGAGATGTGGAGGCTGCCATGTGCATGGAAAGAGTTGCCAGGGTATGCTGATCCTCTGGCTTCATCTGTTTCCTGTCCCAGGCTTTATAGCGATCAGTAAATTACAAACTCCTTATTTCTGATGTTAGTGGCTCGGTTTTGAAGCCGGGGGGTTGGCATGCTAAGACGGGGATCTAGACTTTGCTGAATATGAAGCCAGGAAAGGGTCTCTTGTAACATGGACGTGTAGTGTAGTCTTAAATTTAAGATTGATTCCTGGAAGATTTCCACAGCTCCCTAGTGTAGCCCCTCCCCCCGCACTACTTGGGATACCTGGTAAGGAGTGTGGCTAAGCATCCACATACTGGCCATGTACTTGAGCTGCTTCTTGGCAGATATGAGTTGTAACCTGGTGTGTGGATAAGCATCCACATACTGGCCATGTACTTGAGCTGCTTCTTGGCAGATATGAGTTGTATGATCGCTATTCCACTAACATGAAAATAATCATATAATCCATAGTATCCTGAGATGGGTGAGTGGGGTACCAGGCGGTGTCTCCACAGGACTGATATTCTTTGGAGGGTTTCTTGATGGTCTTCCAGTCTAAATGTCTCATATGTGAGCACCCCGGTGCCATCTGCCTCCATGTAATGGACTCCTATCTGACAATCCATTGGATGTTCCACAATGTAATGGGGCAGCACCTGAGTCTTTCCAATCTGAGTTGTTAGTAGAAATCTCAACTTCAATATGTCTCCTGTTCAGATTTCCAGGATGAATTTCAGAGTCTTGCCAATGATTCTGCTTGCGGCCTTTCAGTAGGACAGAGACCTGATGACACAATGGTTGTTGGTGCTGCTTATGATGGATGCTACGTAAGAGAAGAGGTAAGATTGACAACAATGACTTCAGATTTTGATGCTGTCCTTGTCTTCATCACAATCATGTATATGGAGTCTAATGGTCCTGAAAGGATCATGGAACATGGTGACTGTTCTGTAATGTATGGGTTGGGACTCCAGAGGGGACTGTTACTGGCAGTGTTCTAAAACATCTTTTCTTCTGATAGGATGGAGAGCACCTAATGGTCCTGCTTCTGGAAGCCATTGTGAATGGGACAGTTAAGCAACACAAGATGGAGAAGAAATGCCCAATACAGAATGGTAACGAGTGCTTTTACTTGTACATGGGGAAACCTAATGTCCTATAAACCATGAGCACTATGTAGCTTGTCACTTCCTGGGGTGGTCACTAGGACAGAAGCTGAGGGGAGGCACAAAACCTAGTAACTTATAATCCTTCTATTATAATCCAAGCGTTTTATTGGACTTTCCATGTACAGTATGTAGACTTACTACATGATAACTTTCTCTTGTTTAGAAGCTATGGATGCCCCAAGCCCTGACATCTGCTCTGCTGTCAGCCAAGAGGACAAACTGGCCTGTGCTGGAACACCTGTAACCAGAGACATCTGTGAGGCGTTGGGATGCTGCTACTCCCCAAATGATGCCGGAATGCCTTGTTTCTTTGGCAACATGTGTAAGTGGGATATTGCTTGGCCCAATAAAGGTGGGAGGGGGTCAGTATTGGCCTGTAGGGGAAATACCTTTTTGACAGACTCTGACCGGCAAGGTTGGCAGCCCCTCAGCGATGGCTACAGACATGCGCTCAACACTTGTATTTTATGATGGGTGACTCTCAGTCCAGTCTGGAATGCATTTGGCTGAACTGTATAATTGAATGGGGTTTGCAATGTGTTACCTCAATGATGATTTAAACCAAAATGGTCTTGGCTTTTCCTGGGTCTTTCAGCCCTGTTGGTGACTAAACCATTCACCTTTCCAAGCTCAATATACAGCCCCACCAGTTCTAAGCATGACTTGCTTTTAGGGTCTTCTGAATTGTATAATTTTGTGCTCTTCCCTGTAACCTAACATTACCATGCAGATGTGAGGTGACCTCATTCAAAAATGGACTAGTGTCCACAATAGTGACTAGATAAGACTACTTTCAGTCCTGATCTTCATAGTGACAAACCATCTTTGTTTCCTACAGTGACCACTCAGTGCACAGTTGATAACAGCATGGTGATTGCAGTGTCCAAAGATCTGACCAGGCCATCCCTGCTTCTGGACTCGGTCTCTGTGATTGGTGTGGACCCTACCTCTTGTCCTGGGCTGTCAGTAGCTAGAAGTAACTCCTTTGCAGCATTCAAATTCCCATTATCCTGTAGTAATGCAGATCAGGTGGGTATTCCTATACAGTCTAAGTTGGTGGGTTTGTCCGGCCCTCGCAGCGTTTGTAAAGACTAACAGTACTTGTTCCTTTTCATGCATATGACATTCAATGGTAAAACAAGGGACTGAGATCTTGGCTCAAACCCTTGACTTGAAGCATTAGCAGATCTAATTCAAAACCTACGCTTGTGGCTTCAATTCTAGTATAAGATGTAATAAGGGGGTTCGAATACACGTCAGTGTCCTTGCTATCTGTCCCATTGGGGAGATTTCTCCACTTGCTGTCTGGTAGTCACAAGAGGAAGTGAGTACATTCCTCCAATGAGGGAGTCTCTGGCGGAGACACTAGTTCTGGTGACCATTGGAAGATTTCCCATCTAATCTGTTCTGATAACTGGGTTTCAGTGAGTCACCAGGACAAATGGGAAGGTGACTCTCCCCAAGAGGGATGCAGATGGCAATAAAAACGTGATGTGTGTCCTACTCCTGGTCAGTTTGAATTCTAGTTGGGGCTTTCTCTTGGTAAAGCTCAATATGGGTTCTGTTTAATTGCACAAAATAGCTTAAAGGAGAACTATGAGGGGGGGGAGGGGCTTTTCACTCGCCTCATAGTTCTAGCCGACCTGTGACAAAGACCTGTCATAGGTCAGCTCAGTAGATCGGGAAGTGAGCGAACACATACCGGCGCTCACTCACTTCTCGATCCTGTCATGGCTCTCTGCCGTGACAGAGGGGCTGGATTCCCCGCTCCGATCCT